CGGCCGGCGCCCGCAGCCCCCCGACACCGCAGCCCTTATGGACCTGCCGACCCACGGCGACAAGCTGGAGCACTGCACCAAGGCCAGGCCCCGGCCCAACCGCAGGCACAAGCAGCCACCGAGCAAGCCAAATGTAAGACTTGGTTCATTTTTCTGGTTATTTTTATTTTTTCCCAACTCGAGGGGTTGGTTTTGTGTGTGTTTGCCTGTTTTCCACCCCCCCACCCCCGGTACCGTTCCAGGGGGTTGAATTCTCTTAGTCAGCATTTGTTGCAAGGCAGCAGTGGGAGATATGCAGAGCGCCGCTGGTTTGAGTCTCTCCAGCTCCTGCTGGGTGCACCTTGGAGCTGGGGGGAGCCGGCAGCTGTTTGAGGGGGTCTCCGGGGTCCTTCCTTTTGCTTCCTGATGGATTTGGCGTACTGCAGAGCTGGGGAATGTGAGATCCAGGCAGGAAAAGAACAGTTTGTGTGCAGAGGGCTTAGCTGCCTGTGAACATCTCCATCTCCTGCTGTCCATTCCTGAATTTTCTCCCAAGGTTCAAAAATCCTTTGCCATCTCAGCCCCTGCCTGAAGCTCCGGCAGTCAAACGTGAATGCGGCTGCTATCGTGGTCCTTGGCTGAGCTGTGCACGTCAGGGCAGCGGTGGCTCCTGGGCTCCGCTGACCTGGGCAGGGCTGGATTTGATCCCAGCTCTTTGCCACGGCTGGAATATGAGCAGGGAGGCAGCAATGCTGCTAACCTGCTGGATGTGCTTTGGAAGCCAAAAGTAACTTTGGGATGCGGTCGGACCAGGATGCGGAGAGGAGACCAGGCCTGGGAGAGGCAGAGGCTGGAGGGGGACAGTGTGGGCCATGGTGGAGGCTTTGCAAAGGCCGGAGGCCTTTGGCTGCTGTCTGAGCCATCCCTGCTCCTTCACCCACCCTTGGAAGGGCCTGGAGGGAGGAGGTGGCTCCCCCATGCTCCAGGCAAGGGGCGCTGGGGTGGGATGCTCCGGAGAACCACCCGCCGGGGACACGGTTAGGTGGCCTGGCTTGTCCCTTGTCTGAGTCCTGCCAGAAGGGCCTGGCGCACACGTCCCCGGCAACGCTTGCCTCGCCCGGGGCCCGTGCTCGGAGCCCCTCGGCGCTGGTGAGGCTGGGGAAGCAGCAAGGGCTGCCTTACCTGGGCACAGGCTGGCACGGGCTGTGTCACCTTGGCATGTCTCTCTGCAGCTGGGAGACTGTGTAGTGGCCAGCCCAGGGCATAGCACTGTCCCACTAGGACATAGCACCACTGCTGTCAAAGGAGAATCCAAAGGCCAAGCCAGGCCCCTGACCACTCCATCAGGGTGCTCCGGAAAGGCACGCGGGCTGCCGAATGCTGTCAGTGTGTTTGTCGAGGGGAGGCTTTGATGGATGCGATGTGACAGGTAAAGCAGATATTGCATGGCTGGAATGGGTCCTGAGCGGCATAAATCCAGCTGTAATGAAAAGTCATTATGGATTGAAATGCCACTGACAGAGACGTTCCTTCCTCTTGTCAGTCAGGAGCCACCGCTCGCCCTGCAGCCTGTGTCAGGGCCTCGTGAGTGCCCAAGTGCAGAGGAAGGCCTGGCTGCGGTGTGAAGCATTTTGCTGCCGGGCACAGAGTGGTTGCTCCTTCACTCGGACTGTAGCAGTGCTTCGAGTTGGGTGGTGCATAGGAGAAGAGCCCAGCTTCTCTCCCAAAGCCTGGCCACCTCATCCAAGGAGCAGGGTGTCCTGGCCTGTGGACGGTGTTGGACAGACGGATGGAGCCTGCACTGCCCCGAGGGATAGTTCCTTCCTAGACCTCCAGCCTCCTGCTCCATCAGGAGCAGGGAACCTAAGTGTCTATTCCTCAGTTCTCAAACCAAGGAAATATCCCTGCCAAAGTCTTCCTTTCCATGTGGCCCCAGAGCCTGGCACAGCAAGAGACAAGGAGTGACCAAGCTGTTGTAGGAGAGCATTTGCAAGAGTTAGTTCTGACACGAGGCCAGGGCTGTCCTTGACGATGCTCAGTGCCCGCAAGGTGAGCGGAGGCAGGTTTTGCCGCAGTGTGTCTCAAAGTAGGGTTGGAGACGTGCTACGGAGTCACCTGGACCTCCAGCAACACATGGACACCACCGAGTGTGTGGGCACCAGACCTCCTGCTCAGTGCTGAACAGGAGCACCCAGCATGGGATGCTCCTGGCCCCGCAGTGGAGGGCGGCGATGCCAAGGCGAGCAGGCCGCACCAGGGGAATTGCTGTGGCTGCTCAGGCCATGTGAAAGGCTGGCAAGAAGCTGGGGAGGTGGAGGGGTCCCGGGAGCATGGCAACATGCCAAGTCATCGTGGGATCCTGACTGAGTCACAGCATGACAACACCTGGATTTGGCTTTAAGGCCAAGGGATAGCTTTAAAGCTGGTTATGGGGAGGGAGATGTCCTGGTCCATGGAGGGTGACAGCCCTTCCAGCCCAAAGGGTTTCCAGGCCCTTTCCTGTGCTGGCACCCACAAGCATGGGCACGTGTGTGGGACAGGCTGTGCCAGCACATGAAGCATGTGTGAACATGTATGTAAGGTGCATATTCACCCACCAGTGTATTTTTGCCTGCCCATGTGGCCTCCTGGGAGGTGGGAGGTAGAGGAGATGCTCAGGCCTGGTTTTTTTCCCCCCCCCCGCCCTGCTTGTTTGCAGGTGCAGCCTGTGTCCTGTGAGAACAGTGAGGACAGGAGCATCACGCGTGTGGACGAGGGCCTGGAGGACTTCTTCACCAAGAAGCTCATCACAGAGGAACTACCGTAAGCAGAGGAGGGCTGGGGTTGCTGGTGAGAATGAGCCATTAGGGTCTGGATGGACAGTGGTGTGAGAGGCTTAGGGCTGGCATGGGGTCCTTGGGTCAAACATAGCCCTGGCCTAACATTTCCCAATGCCTCATCTCTCCCCAGCCCCGCAGCACTGGAGCCCTGCCCTGGATCAACCCTTCCAGCATCCTCCAGCTCTCGCACCCTCAAGAAGAAAATTGGGAACTTTTTTGCATTCAAGAAGCCCAAGTCCAGCCGGGGCTCAAGGTGTGAGAAGGAGCCCGAGGGTGTCACAGCCCCCAAAACCAGCCGGTCGATGCTCAGTGACATTTTGCGGGCCCCCAGCAAGGCAGGAGAGGCGCTGAGCAAGTCCGAGGAAGGGGGCCTTGCCGCCGAGCCCCGGGCAGAGCCTGAGCACAGCCAGACTCCCGACTCTGCCCGCAGGATCAGGCCCAAGTACTCACGGGAGGGCAAGTCCCAGTCACTCATTTTGCTGTCCGGGGAGGACGAGGACGCGCTCGGGGTCAGGCACGACAAGGTAAGCGACTCCAACACTGGGTGGCTGCTGCCGCCGCTGATGGCCATGATGGCACCAGGGCTGGATGCCATCAGGGGCAGGGCACGGGACTGCAGTCCATCCATGGCTGAGAGGGAGAAGAGAGCAGGAACATGGGGCTCCTTGAGCAATGCCCAGGGAGTCTGACGTCGGCACAGACCCTGCCAGGGCCCACGAGGGACTGCACACAGGGGTAACCATCGGGGAGGTGTTGCCTCCCTCACTCCCTGTCCTGGTCTTCCCTGCAGAAGAGGCACCTGGAGAAGAGCGACGGGGAGCTGCCCAACTCCTTTGAGCAGCGCGTGCACCTCATGCTGCACCGCATGGGGGTCACAAAAGGCCTGGCCACCGAGAACAAGAAGCAGCAGGTGGGATCAGCTATTCTTCAGGGACCCAGGGAGGGGGAAATGGTGGCCAGAGCTCCACCTCACTCCATGTCTTTGTCTTGCAGAACAAGGACAGCGAGATCAAGAAAGCCGGCTCCGATGGTGAGGTGCTGCGTCCTCCCCCCCTCAGCCCTGACCCACCCCTGGCACAGCAGAACATCTGTAGGGTCCTTTGGGCTCCCAGATACGTGGACCACAGCCAGGCCCATCCCCTGGCCCCATCCTGTATCCTGCAGCTAGCAGGAACCTAGCCGAGCATCACCCATCCCACTTGGGGTTGCTTTCCCACTGCAGTTTCATGACCACCACAGGTGCTGGGGGCACGGGGTGACCTGCCCCACACACTCATGCTGACCTATGCTTGCAGGGGACATTATGGACAGCTCTGCAGACTCGCCACCCCCATCACTGAAGGTGCGCACACACTCCGTGTCCACAGGTAGGTCAGCTGCCGGGGCACAGAATGGGCTTGAAGAGGGGGCAGTTGGGTCTTTCCCCACCATTAGCACCATTATAGGGGCCAGAGTTTGGCAGTCAACACCTTGCACCCATGGGTGCCCACCTTGAGCTGGCCCTAGCAGAAGGCAATCCAGCCACTTACATACGTGGATGGAGACATGAGCCCATGCTGTCTGCCCCACTGGTGGCCCTGGGGACCAAGGTTCACCCCTGCCCTGTCCCGAAGGTGGGTGGGTGCCACCCCGGAGCTCCTTGGCCCTCCTCACAGCCAGATTTGGGGTGCCTGAGGGGATTCCCCACGCGCAGGATATCCACAGCTCTGCCTTTCTTCCCCCAGACACCTCCTTACGGAGCAGCCCAGCCCCCCCAGCAGAGCCCAGCATGGGCGCTGCCAGGCCAGCCTGGAAGGCGCTGGGGAAGCAGCTGAACGCGGAGCTGAGGGGGAAGAGCGCAGAGGCGGCGCGGCGCTTGCTGCCCGGCGCTGAGGCGAGC